GKTYAAGGAGGTGGAACAGCAGCATAGCTAAGGTGCATCACTGTTAAGGRGGTAGYATGTTTATAAGGAGGACACCACMAKAAGGAGGTAGCATGGTTAAGGAGGTGAGGTGGAAGTTATTAAAGCAGCATAGTTAAATGATACATATGGTTTAAAGACGGCATGGATTAGGAGCAGCATAGCTAAGGCATATCACTGTTAAGGAGGTAGCATGTTTATAAGGAGGACACCACCATAAGGAGGTAGCATGGCTTAGGTTCCGTGGATTTAAAGATGCGGCAATCACTTTAGAATGCAACATACATATGCGTTAGGAGCAATGTACAATGAGCCTTGTTCAGGAGGCAGCTATAATACTAGCCTATTGTCTCACAGGTTTTTGTAATAACCTTATTTTATCTTTAAGTTAAAATTAATAAAACTCATAATTATATCATGATTTAATCATTATAATGATGCAGTAATTCTGGTTTCAATTCATACTGAATGCAAATTGTTGGGACAAACTGATCCAAATCCAAATTGTAATCAATACTTACACCACCAAAATTCCAGTATTGCTCAACTAACTCCCTATTGAAGAAATGTGAAATCTCAGGATTTGAAAGGGCTGGCTCAAGAACCTAATAGTAATTTAGACAAAGCATAAATTAAAAGAAGTATTAGAAGTCTTAATAACAATTCATTTTAAATAAGAAAAATGAAGTAGAAGACTCTCATGGATAAGAATATGATGAAAAGGAAATAGTACAAGAAAGAAAGGAAAGTGTGGAATTTATTGTAAGGGAAGAGCTCAAGATATAAATTATTACAATCACTTGGTGAAATGAAGGTAGAAAAAGAAAAAAAAGGAGGGAAATAAGGAAAAAAAAGAAGGATAGAATCTAAGAATCTCTAAAGAAAAGAAGGAATTTTATGAGTGTAGTTAGAGAAGAAAATAAATAAGAATAATACATTAAGTTTTTCTTACAGCTCTATTGAAATAGATTCCTGGTTCAATTGTTAAGACCATGTTYTGTTCCAGTGTTCTTGTAGTCCTTAAACTACGGAGTCCAGGCTCATTAATCCTTTGCGAGCCCTTAAATATTAAACAAATTGATAACTGCATTTTACATACAGCTATGTTGTGTAGCAAATAATAATTTTTTAATTGTTTCAAATGTTGAAAGTTAAACACTCATCCAATCAACTTCCACCAATAACTACAAAGAAAAGTAATAGACAAGTGGAAAGTAGAAWGTAGTCTCTTGTGCATGAGGGGTGTACTATGCACTTTTGCAGGTCTCGAGTATAATGTGCCACTTCAATGTGACCCTAATAGCAAAGCAGCTCAAAAGGTAAACAGCCGTACATACAGTCACCTGCTTTGTAGACTGTTGAATATAACATTCATGCTCGATAATCTCACCAAATTGATTGTCCAGCAAGAATATTTAATAAGTATAGTGAAGAGCAGGCTACAGTATGTACAGAAAACAAGGTGAAAGTTAATCGGCATATTATCAACCAATACAAGTAAATTGATATTAAATTTAATTAAACTCATCGCCAATGATGATGATGAGTACGAGTGTCTCAAAGTTGCCCAGGAGGACGCGCACAATAGCCACATTTAAAAATATATATTCAATATTCATTGATTACCTCTGGATATCCCCCCACATCGTGCACATCAATCCCCATGAAATGCCCCAAGCCATGTGGCATGAAAATAGAACCAACATGATGTTTGATCATTTCGTCAACATCACCTTTTACAATCCCAATTTTTTTGAGTTCTTCAAGGTTTGTGCGATTTGCAAGACGATGCATATCARCCCACGACACACCTAAATATAAGTAATCAACTTAATTAAATTCAGTGCTACCCCTGATCTTGAAACTATATGCATATCAAAATAATATATGTTGCATGAGTTATTATCAACATGGTAAAAAAATGCAATACAAGCAACACTTTGTTGGTTTATATTATAAAATAAATATAAAAATACATTATTCTGACTGAACACTAAAATGCATGGAGGACGAACAGCTTCAATTGCCATAGTTCATTATGACGTCACATCAAAACATTCTATTGTTTTAACGCTAAGGATTATGGTCGCCAGAAGGGATCAGAGTGACTGCATTTCAAATAAAATGTAAAAGAACAATCATTATTTTTATACATGATATAATATCAAAACACGATTCATTGAAGTTCTATTTTAGTAGACAATAAATGGGTCCAAATTTCCACTGTTTTTGAGCATTGTTTTCCGATGTAAACATACTATGACTTCATAACGAAATAGGGCAATTGACAACCGAAAAAGATAGAAGGCCAATGACAGCTGTCCATCAAGGGCCTAAACCCCTCAAGTTCACTGATTAGAACTGAATGATTTTGATACCTGGTTTGACAGCCTTCATGACAGCAAGGCTAGACTTCAGCACTGCCTCATAGATCTGTCTTTGTTTGTCAGTGAACTTCCCATTGGCTGGATARGAACATGTGATGTCAGATCCATAACAATAGTACTCTCCACCCATATCAAACAAACTGTTTTAAATAAAAGAGGAATATTAATAACACTGTAATTAAATAAAAAATAATTATAGTATCATACATAGTCTAAGCTATTAACAAAAAACACCATCCTGGAGAAATTAAAATCTCAGATTGACAAGAAGAAGCAAATTTAATCATAATATTCTAAAAATCTCCAGTACTTTGAATCATTTTAATAATTTGTATAATATTATTTTGATAATTATCCTGATAGTCTTTGAAAGATTTTAACAAGCAGACTGTTTTGTGTATGGGTGAGTCAATCAGCATGACAGAGACTATCATAAGGTATAGTATACACAAACATTGTAATAATTATTAGGTCTCCAATCACTTACCACATGTCTCCATCTTCAATTCTAACATCATTAGGTGCCCCAGCATGTCCATAATGCAGAACAGCACAGCATGAACCTCTAGAAAATGTCAGCATTTATCTTAATTTTGTACATTTATCAAACTCTTGTGAATTCTTGCACGCTGATTTGCTACACTCATGAGTCTGCTTGAGTTTTGAGCATTTTATGACATCAAGAATTTATCAAAAAGAAGCCACACAAGTCAAAATAACTGAGTGCAATTTGTTAGCTTGTGTGAATTTTAAGGCCATAGAAAACTAATTGGATGATTGCCTTTATTTCATTGATAAAATTCATTTTCATTAAGGTATTTAGATTTCCTCGGCCTTGGTACTTACGTAGCACCAATACAAGTGTATGACACATGACGACACCCTCCTTGAGAATAGCAATAATGTTTGAAAAGGCTGTCAAAATAAGAGTACAGTTTGAGTACAGTATGGCTTGAATAGTGTCGACAATACACAATATATTTGTCAATCATTTGCCAATCTTGTAAATTCAATAATTGTTTAGCATTTATACTGACTATAACTGCTTATCTCACTATAATATTCACCTTTCCATTTCAAATTGAGTCATTCCAGGTCTGATGCGCTTCATCAACTAAAGATAAAGAAGTAACAGAATCTCAACTAAAGCCACTTATTGGTAAAATATAATTATGTCCTTTAAATGCATTGCCATTGAAAATCATACTGAATGCAGACAGAATATTGATACAGGATTTATCTTATTTACAACATTTAATACCTGTTTGTGTGCCTCACTGCTAACTTTGTTGACATAACGCATAAGTTCCAATTCTTGTGGGGTCTTGATAACACGACTTGAGGATTGTGAGTATTAGAATATGATATTTGAAGTTTAAATTAAGATATTGAGCATTATCACTTACCATTCCATGATTTCAGGGTGAAGAAGTGTGTTATCAACTTTGAATCTAAGAAAGTAAATATATAATCCATATAAAGCTACTGTGCATGACTGTACTCTAAGTTACATAATTTTATTTTAATTATTAAAATTTCAAATATAGTCTATCCTAACAATAAACGTACTTGCTAATGCCATCAAAAGCTGCTTCCCTGCATGTCTTACCAGAATCTGTATTTGTCCCTCTCTAAACAGAAAAATATATTAACTAAACTTAATGCCAGGTTGTTCAAAGCCYAATTARCATTAAGGCAAAACTGGGTCAACTCTATTAAATTCTTTTAAGAGTTAACCCAGGAATAGCAAAAATTAAGCCTTGAGCAATCCGAAACATTTTAATATTCAGACATTCTCTTAACTCTTTACCAAAGTGAGGAGGAGAGAGGGCTTCTTCTTCTCAAGTACTTGTGCTACCTGAAAGAAATRGAATTTCAGCAAATGCATCAACAATAGGTTAATAAATATTTATAAATTATGATTCGATGGGTTAATTGAATTAATGATAGCTTGAGTGAATGATGGACTGACTGACTGATTGGTTGATTGTTTTGTTGTTTGATTGATTGATTAGCAAGTTATTAACCTGATTTGTGAATTCAACTTCATCCACATCATACTTCTTCTTAAAATGGTCTCTGGAGAAAATCCTAAAAGGAGCAATTTACACAATTAAAGTATTATACATTCTCTTCAATAATTTCACAAAATGTAATATTTTTAATTCCCCTTCCCACATTTGGAATATTCTACAACTTGTGCTATGAACAAGCTGCACACTTTCCAAGGATTTGAAATTTCGTCCATTAATTTTATTGCATATTGTAAGCTTTTAAATGATTAAAAAATTAAGTTTAATAATCTCGTGTTACTAACTCTCCCATCCATACTGCATATTCTTGAGGAAGTTCTGGTACAAATAAAATGGACTTTCCAGTGTCGACTTCCACAGCACCATAACAATCTGCTTCTAGACAGCCAAACGTCCAGTGAAAATAAGACTCCTGATTGAAAACATTATAACAAATCAATGACCAGGAACTAAAATTTTACATTATTTACAATCATKTTATGCCAGTAATTCAGTCTTCTAACTTTTCCTTTGGTTATGCTTTGGACAGGAAGCCCAACAAATGRTTKCCTATAATAAATGAMCTGCTCAGGCAAASCCTCAATYGTGAGAGGTTCCARCTGATCAAGGCAGGAAATGAAGAGTTTTTTAAAATCTTGGCAACAGATTCCATAAATTTTGTATGACTGTACAAAAAACATGGCAYGATTGCTGAGAATGTATGGTTTCCAACCTAGTCCTCAGGTRTTCCTAGTTCCCAATCTTACTGATGTCACAGGTCTTTGTTACCGACTATCTGACTGGGATGTCTTGGGACTAGGGCTGTATTGTGTCATGAAGGTCATGTGTTCTCATGTAAATTTTCATTATTTATTGTGGAAAATAATAAATTTATAATTGTAACAATATCAGTAAGAATTATGATTATTTTATCAAAATGATAGTAAAATATTAAGAGCTATCCTCTTCAAGCAAAAATGAAGTTATGATTTTTATTGCTGACCACGCCTTTATTGACATTTCCAAGAAATTCTGCATGTACAACTTRTATTCTAAGAAAGCTACCATTATATTTTTGATCTATAAAAATCAGAAAAAGATTATTTACCTGTCTAAATACAACATCAGTATCTGAGCAATATCTCGTCTGCTGYTCRCCACCTTGCAGTAYTACAATAGCGCCTTTGGGGATTTTCTCATTTTCCTGAAGTCTCTTGCAGAGTCGTTTCCTGTTTGTTGCAAACARMGACATCGAGACCTTCATCGTATGGTCCCCAAGCTGGAAAAACGGTCTAAACACATAAAAATAKGACACATAATGCTTATAAAGTAATGAAAGAAACCTTTCAATAGCCATACACAAGAAAAACAAACAATCAAGMTTCGTAAAATTATCCAAAACAAGCGCGAAATTAGCTTAATTACTCACGTGGGATTCACGGCCATAGTTCAATCACAAATGATATTGTAATAATATATGTRTATGATTTCAAAGATAACTTGAGGAACTTTCAAAAGAACTGCTGTGTCTTTAAAGGATAAATAATTTCCTCCAAAACACACCGACAAGATACCTCCAAAGAATTTACCAAACYCTGCCTTGCACAAGAGTTCACAGTTCAAACAATCGATGCATTATGGGTATGAACTCAWAACCTCCTTAAACTTCCACTTCCGTCACACATTCTTAATGTAAGGGAATTGCTTTTTAGATTATTTTTCATCTCTAACTGCACCTATTTTATATAAATTTATATCGAAATTTAATAATTCTATGTCATATTTCATATTTTTATTAATTTTACTTTCATACGAGTTTTTCCGAATATTGTGTTACTTCCGGATTTCAACGAAGAGAAAAGACTGGGATCGAGCTCATTTTGTGTGAGTACTTGTTGAGATGGGAAACATGTCGTTTTTTTGCACTTAATTTAAATCTTAAATAGAGAAATAACTGTATTATCTACATAACTAAAATGGCAGATGACCTAGATGATCTTTTAGACGAAGTAGAATCGAAATTCTGCAAAGACAACATCACAAAAAAGCCCRCCAGAACAAATTCGAGACAACAGCGAGACGAAACACTAAARCAAGGACAGATTTCGAGGTATGTAGAACTAACTWTACTAAACCATTTTAAAGTAATTTTTGTCATTGCTCAAACAGTTAACCGTGCTTTTTCTTGCAGGCCTGTAAGGTTAAAGAAAGAGGGCGAGGATTTAAACGACATTATTCGTGATATATGCGACGATGCTCTTGACATCCCTAATCCGGTAAGCTTCTATTTAACATGACAACTTCATAGGCAAATGGTCTGTAAGTGAMMTTATTGCTGTAATCTGGCYCTYARCTTAGAATAATATTCAGTGAAGTGGCAAAGTGGAGGACAATGAACTCTACGAACCGAACTTCATAGTGTTCCTGTTGCCATGTCAACGCCGCCATGATGTATAAAATTATATGCATKTAGAAATATTTATATTACAAGATAATGCTTAACATCCGAGTTTAAAGTATACTCTTTTAAATAGAGTTTTTAATGCTCTCTTTGTCTAGATATCAAATATGTTTTCAGATTTAATCATAWTTATTTAAATTCTTGTAAATGAGATGTGGAACATGAATGAGTAGTCATGGCGACTTTGATATATTATAATTGTACTTAAGCTCACGTTTTTTCCTCTAATTATATTCTTATTTTCAACTCTTAAGCCTGCCCCAAGTACCAGCTCAAAACCCMAAAATTTACAGAAAACAGGTCACAAGCCAAAGTGTATGAAACTGTTGCTGGGAGGTAGCAAATTTGCCACAGGCTTGTGCACGGTTTCAGAGCAAAAGTAAGTTATTTTATTTTACATWCAACAATTCAGGAAAAATCCAAATGGCATGACGTTTAGTTTGCTTCCTTCTTACAACTCGGCTGAGCTCAAACAGCTCACAGAAGTTTGTGAAGAGAATTGAACCTCTAAAAATTTCTACAGAGGAAGCTGTATATTACACTTGTTTTACCATAGGTAACTCAGGAAAAGCATTTGTACAAGAAAATGTATAATCAATATATTATAGTTTCATTGCCAAACTTTTACAATAAAGCTTAGAATAACAGAAATAAAGTACACTTACCGTCTTGATGAAGTATATTGTCATTAAAAGTGCTTGGGTTATCTGTGGTTTTACATATTCACTACAAGCAGCATTAACCTCCTCTGCAGACAATCTTCCACTTTATTTCATTTTTCCATTGCTTTGGGCTTCCTGTGTTTGCTCTTYCCACAGGAAGCCCAAACTGTGAAAGAGTRGAACACACTTACTAGTATAAAGCTAATATTTTGTTGTTATCTTTAGGACTTGTGACCAGTTAAGATGTACCTCTTGTGACTTCAAAGTTGTCATGTTTGATAACTTCCACTGGCAAGGAGACTGTGATTATTTGTTCTTCAGAAATAAYGTACCAGACTTTCAGAAACTCAAGGCAAAATTAATAACAAAACGAGGTAACCATGGTAACTAGACTAATATTCTTTGTGTTGTAGAATGAGTGTGCTAGAGCGCCAAAATAAAAAAAAAACTTAAATAGTGGAGAATTTTACTCTCTCTAACCCTTACATTATTTGCAGACTTTTTGATATAATTGTTTCAAACATTTATTTTTCAGGTTCTAGAGCATATGCTTGCCAATGTACTTGGCGGTCTGTTTTTGAGATCACAGACATTTTATCAGATTCCAAATTAAAGTGGGTTTGCGGAAAGCACAGTTAGGGATGATATAGGATGATTAAAAGAGGATAGAACACTCTAAAACATAAATTATACATTGTAATCAGTATTTATTGCTCAACATGTCTTGTTCATGTACAGCTGTATCAGTAGATATAAACAATCTTAGAAAAAAACATGTTTGATACTTCTAAAATGAGAGGTATAGAATAGTGTATCGAAATCGCAAGGCTCTCCAAAAATTTTCCAAGGCTCGCAAGCTCGGCGCTTAAAAGGAAGGGGCTCAGATTTAAAATCGCTTTTGGCTCAAATGCTTGCAATTGCCAAAATATCGGACTCGCTCAGGCAAACGCTCAGGCTCGGATTTTAAACAAGGGGCTCGAAGGCTCGGCAAGGCTTGGATTTKACCATTYGATACCCCTAAAATGTGATTCATAACTCCATAATAGGAATATTATTTTGAAGATCGATACATGAATGTATCAGTAATAAAGGAAAGCTCATGTTCAGCAGCATCAGTAAAATGGAACTTGTGTCTTTTCACAATACCAGGAATGAGATGGCAAATTCTCATTGTACATCTATGCTTGTGAACACTGTACATGTACTATCCATGGTCAGTTTTGAACCAGTAGGAAATTATGCACATTTTGAAATTTAATAACGTTAAGATAATATACTGTATATTTCAGCTGCTCATCTTGTGAGTCTTGTTATGTCATACTGCAAGAAATATGATAATAATATTAAAGTATTAGAAGTTTGATGATGATTATTTTTTATCRATGATTGGTGGTGAATGTTTCCGACACTTGGTACTAAAGAAATGTATGGGCGTTACACATTTCAAGTCCCTTATAKGTATCTGACTGTACGTAATACAAAACATTCACTCCAATCTGTCTGAGGATGGCATTTCACTGGGTTTTGTTTAGGTATACTAGGAGCATTGCTAGYAATACAATTAGGATCAAACTGCCTGAATAATTGTCCAGGTCTTGGTGAATATGAGGTGTATTTACCTTTCCACTAAGCTTGCTCTCATAGTGGTAGTAATRGCAGATGTCTGTGCGTCCCCAATTTTGAATACACTTTCTATAACTGACAGTTCWGTGCTGGTTGTGTCCAAACCACAAAATGCACTCCAATCGTTGACCACAAGACCTCCTCCGATGACATCACTACCTCTGTTCACTGTACCAGCCTTCAAGWGGGTAATGATGAACATTGTTAACAATGATAAAAGTCTTCTTCACAGTTCCCTTGCGCCATCTTGAAAGGTAGCCATGCCTTTGCTTTGAAGGGAGACAACCATTGAGCGTGCAATGATAGAAACCTTCTTTCACACCTACAGACAATTATTCACAGGTATCTATCATTGAACACTCAACGGTTGTCTCGCTTTGATGCAAAGGCACGGCTACCTTTCAAGATGGCGCAAGTAACCGAAGAAGACTATTATAATGCTTAATATTACAAATCTATAATCTATTGTATGCTTGACGAGGTTAGCAGTGGTATCCCGGATACAGTATGTAAACAATAAGAACGAGAACCTGCTGCATTGTGGTTGGTTGGGATTCTTTAATATTTAAAATAACTAATATAAAATTTTTGCATGGCTTTAGTGTAAATTGTAATCTTGTACAGACAAATTTAGTACAATTTTGCAGTATATAGTGAGCTTCACTTTTCTCATATTTTAAGAATATTTAATTATATAGCTTAATATTAGAAAACTTGAATATTGTTCTATCTGTTTTTATRGCACACTGTCCAAGTACTACCAGACAATGTTGAATCCTGAGAAAACTGGTACTCGAACAAGGACAGGCATTCAGCAAATGACAAACTGACTTTTCCTGTTTAATTTGTGATCTTGTCAAACTAACATTGCTACTGATGAAAACTTGACCTATGTTTTGACATWTTTATTGACAAGTTAAAAAAACCTGGAAATTGTTTAATGTTTTATTCAGAATGTTTATGTAACCGTTAATTATAATTACATTTTTTTGTCCCCCTCCCCCAGACATTCTGACGATAAATCAAGTAACAAAACATGCATTAATTGCTATAATAATCATTATCAAATTACAGTGTCATACCAGAATCAATATCTTAAAGTGTAGACGTTTTCCAAATCACTATACTTACCACAATTGGTATTTGTAGCAATGACGATAATTCATCTTGGTCTGATATGGTGGTTTTTGGATGGACCTGTAAAGTTAGATCCAAAACAGAGTGTGTTCATTTGGCTGTAATAGCTTAAACTAAGAGGATATGTACATAAATCTTACATGTAAAGATTCTAGGTATAAAAGTTTAAATATGTGTGGAATTTCAAGATTACAAATAGAGTTTGAAGCAATTTTACTAAGGAGATGAGGACTGTGCACTTGAATGAGAGGAGRCTGGGATTACATATAATAGACCTCTCACACTTGCTTGGATAAACATGAAACAATGGTTTCAAGTAGAGACTGGAGTTCAAACTGAAGCCATTGTTTTGTGTACAACAAAGGGAGTGTTAGTTAGGTCTATTGATCATAAATATAACACAGGAATCCCATACCAGTCCTCCTTGATTGCTAAGAGAGCAGTAGGTACCAACAAGGGTATTTGAAGCTATAGTTTGTCGAAAGACTTCCACTTTTAGRGTATCAACAAGAATTTCTTCCGTTTCCTGGAATGAAGAAAGGGTTTTGCATTAGAAAACATGACAAATTAAGGCCTTAAAACTTTGGCTTGGTCTCCAACTTCCCAAAGTTTTCTGACCAAGTACATCTCATCAGCTCTTGGATTTTACTATTCTCCACTCCTATTAAAAGACATATTTACAACTACACTGTAATATTCCACAGAGTTGCCTAGAAAGCTTCATACAGTATCATTAYATAGTTCTGTATTCAATAATCATAACTTACTCTGTCCAAGTCTGGATGAACAAGAGCTACATAGTCATTACAAGCCACMACATTTCCAAGTGCAGAAAGACGTTCTTCGACTCTTTGAATTTTAACTGCTTCTGGCAGACTATTTCTGATGTGTTGAAGTTCCTAAGAATGAAAATATTAATAATAGTTGGGACTAATAAATACTGAAAGTTGCCGCAGCTATAACAAAAACACAGTTCTGTTCCAATTACAACATAATTCAAACCACATAAAGTTTTGAATTAAGAATCTATAGCAGCTGTAAAACAGGCTTTTATGCTGTTAGTTGTTGCTTGCATTGTTCCAAACTTACAGATTGCCATAGGACTATAACTAATCTAACGCAATTGAATTCTAACAATCCAAAAATCTTCTGAGTTAAAATGAGTATACAATATGTACCTGATCTGTAGTGGTATTTGGAAGTAGAAGTCCATGTCGATTACCTGAACAAATCAAACAATGTCTTAATTATAATTGCAGTATGTACATTTATAATTGATACATGAACATACCTACACTTAGACGTCCAATRATCCTCAAACCAGCAACTGATGTGTGAATAACTGGAATAATGTCAGATAACTCGCCTTCAAAGACACTATAGAATATAAATTAAAAGTGGAAATTAAACTAAATGTTATTAACTTCCAAGAAAAGTACTTGAATATTTTCGACTTCTGTCTCCTTATTCTCAAACATATTTGTACAATAAAACAATAGAGACATTCGTATTTCGGGAAACGTAACTTAAWACACTTTAAATCCTTATTGCTTTAAAGTTTTTCATTTTTACTGACCTGTAAAAGTTTTCAGMAGCTCCAACTCCAACGAGGCAGTACGTGTTTGTKAGCATTGAAAATACTCCGATTTCATTGCTGTTTTCAAACTGAGCTCTCACAGCCATTTTCGATAGTTARTCTTTGWAAGTAATGTAMGATTTTAGGGCTATGTTATCTTACGAAGTGTTTTTRCCGAATGTCTTTCTTTTCTTTCTGCAATGCTGTGTCACATGGAGGAAATGTTGCACCACAGCCTCGTAATTATGCTATTTTGTAATACCGCTGCTCAGTAACACATAAAGGGCTCATGATTATGTCTTATTTAAGGGCGGACGACTTAACTTTTGAGGGTGTGTGGGGGGAGGGTGGATAATTTTGTGCGTGCAAGAATTTTTTTTAGGACTTCAAGCGATCGCTTGTATTTTTTTTTGTAAATTTACAAAATATTTAGTGCAGATTTTTCAAAATTTCCAAATTTTTGCCGTGCAGAATTTTTTTTCAAAATCTTCCAACAACCCCTAACGTATAGCTTTTACAAATAAGAAAAAATAATAGCGTATAGCTTTTAAGAGAAAAAATAGGGGAGCTTAAAAAAAAATACACAAAAGAGGGAAAGATTTTTTGATATATTTTTTTAAGGGGGCGAAATACTTATAGAAATTGACTTGCTAAAAGCAGGGACATGGGCTGGGGAGAGTTTCAAAGGTTCTGAAATCCGMCCTCTTTCTTGACACACCTCGGTAAGGGTAACCGGCCCATTTATTCGGATAGTCTAATCGCTTGTTCGGTGCGAATACAAACCAGTACTTTAATTACAGAAGTCCATGACCGACAGGAAGAAAACAAAATGTGCGTGATGACTAACTCTGTCCCGCTCCAGCTGACCTAACTTTGTCTTCAAAAACCAATTTATTCGTCGTCAATCGTTTTTAATGTACATTTGATCTCGTAATATGACAGCTGCTTTGCAATTAATTACTACTCTTTATCTAAATATTGACTCATCGATGATTGCAACTTTGAAGATTGAKTGATTTTCTTGTCTTCGCTGTTTTACTAACATAGTCTTTTGATCCTCTCGTTAAGAAACTGAAAAAAGTCGACATTGTGTCCAGTTTTCGTGCACAATGACAGGTATTGTTGTGTTTGCGCTTATGATTATGGCTGTGACAGCAGGAAATCAACAAAGCAACAGCAAAGAAAAGCGAAGTGATCTTACGAAGGACATCCTCAGCGAAGCAAGTTGTCGTTATCTCAAAACCCACGGGTATTTGGACAAGGACGCGAACTGGAGAAAACTATGTCTCAAAACGAACAGTAATAAGCAGAACTTAATTTTAAAAATTTGTAAATTGACTAGGCTATAATTGAAAACTTCCATACTAGCTGTGCTCATGATATTTTATTTCCCTCCAGACCAGTGCAAAGATGTCTTCTCGAGTAYTACCTGCTGTATTGCWAAAGCAAGAAACGAGTGCATTAATAACTCTACAGTAAGCAACGTGTATTGCAAGTTCACCTGCAACAAGTGTTCAAGTGAGTGTCACCACAGGTAGCCTGAGTATGACATACGTTTTACGTACGTAAACGCGCACAATATTAACGTTTCTATTTATTGTAGTCTCGCCTTGTATTAAAAGTGATGCACTTGGTATGGAAAGTAAAGCCATCCCTGATAACAGAATCTCTGCCTCGTCATACTCATGGAACTCGTATGCACCACAGCATGCAAGATTAAATCACAGGTCGGGTGGAGGTTGGGCACCAAACCAAATTAACGGCAGAGAATGGCTGCAAGTTCACCTCAGGGGTACCCACTGGGTCACAGGAATAGCAACTCAAGGCTCTGCTATGAAATACCAATGGATGACAAGCTACATAATTCAATATGGCATGGATGGTTTAAACTTTACCCCTTATCAGTCCGGAAAAGTGTTGACGGGAAATAACGATACAAAGACAGTGGTAAAGCATGATTTAAATCCTCCAATTGCTGCAGAATACATACGGGTCATTCCTAAAGGTATTAAAGGCTGGGCGGTGGTCCGAATGGAGCTGTATGGATGCAAAAAAGGTCAGTTGTTAACTTTCCAAGC